CGATAAGAATCCAAAGTAAAGTCAGTCATCCATTTTCTTATGTGTTGTTTGTTTCAGACCTGATAGGTGAGATAGTTGGAGTAGGCGTCATCGAAGAAGGGCCAGATAGAAAGATATTAAACATTGAATTGGAGGATTTGGAGTGAGATGGATTACAATGCATTCTTATTGATTATGATTTTGTTTTTTTTGATCAATTTTTTCCTTTATTTATAAAAAAACACATTCTATAATTTATCGACAGGAAGAACAGATCGATGGTTACTCTGTAGAATCACCATGCGGATACTATTAGGGTCTATATTACATATGGGTTCACTAATGATCTGCTACCCTTTTAAAACGAAATGGAATTATTATTAAATATCTTAATTACATAACGTATGCCCAATAACAAATACACACAATTGTATTTCAACAAAATCATAAAATACTATACTATAAATAATTATGAAGACTTGTGGTTTTGTTGGTGACCTCTTAACATATTATAATAAAAATTATCTTTCAATGATTAGGTTTTCCATGTTTTATATGATGTTATTATGATTATCTATAATTCCATTTGATTAGTAAATCTTTTCTCAATCTCATTTTATAGTAGGTTATTTGAATTTGTAATTATAAACTTCTTTATTAGTAAAAATAATTTACTTTGAGTTATTGGACTAAAGTAATAGTGAAACCCAATATATATTATTAAGTTTGTACAAACTATCATTGTAATTTAAAACTTTGATTTAGTTAATTTTACATTTGCGCTTTTAATTACTTTCATTCATATACTACTTAAAATTGCTTCTTTTTCCTTTTTCTTCTTTGCCTTAAGGTACATCAAATTCTTTCGTTTCATGTGACAGAAATAATTTATATTTATGATTACGGGCTTAATTTATTACACAACTTAAATTATATTAAAAGCCAAAAACATAACCACTATAAATATAACCATTACAAAATTTCCCACAAATCTCTCTTAGAAAAAAAATATTGATTTTTCTCTTTTATTTATCTAAAGACATTATTCATGCTAAAGGCGGGTTATTTTTTATTTTTTCCTTCAATTTCGGATCTTTAGTTGGAATGGGTGAAAGGATGTAAGAAAAATGTGGGATGATAAAGAAAATTATTGAAAGTGAAATAACTATGTTCGGGTGGGACAGATGCCCGGGCGTCCCCTCTAAATTACTATTTTATTAAAATCTAAATTGAATTACTATTTTTTGAGAAATTAATTTGGTGTATATATCATTTATGCTATGGTTTGGGGCTTAAAAAAATATACCTATAAATGTGAGTTTATAAGGAATAATAAATAATTAGTTTATAAGACATTATTCTTAATTGCTGGATTTAGGTATTTTTATTTTTTGTTTATATTAAGCCTGCAAAACTATACGATTGGACATTTGAATTTGAATTACTATATCCATTTGTTTGAAATGTAACTGATCCTTATTTGTAGTAAAACATGTGTTTTTTTTTAAAAAAAATTATATAGCTTCTAATTAAAAGAGACTTACACGTGGCAAAAAGACTTCTGAAATCTGAAATATGGTGCATTGGAGTCAAAACAGATGCATACGTAGTTGCCACATAAACTTCATGTCTTCTGTTTTAATGGGGTAAAAGGGATAATTTTAGATTTGAAATTGATTTGATCTTTCAAATCTTTAAAACTTAATCCCCTTAAGCTAAATAGCAGCCAAAATTCTTTTAAACTCTAAGTATCCCAATAATAGGCTGTCACGAATCAGATATTTAATTTACAGTCAAATTTGATTTTTTTTCCTGATTTTTTTTTTATTTTGTAAATCGCAGACAAAGATATTGATAAACACGGTATGAATTTATACAGGTGGCATGAGTTTACTTCATAATATTTAAAATTTTAGGATGATTAGTGATGGTGTTTGACGGGTTTAAATCAAGGGTATAATTTTATTTTATTTTTTTGGATATGGTGATGAAAACAAATGAGATTTAGAAATTACTATCTAAACGCCCGTCGTGCAATGTCGCCATTTCTAAGGCCTGAAAATATCTTTGGACAAGTAATTAGATAACATTTTGAAGGATTTCTTTTTGGATAAGTAAATAGTGCTTGGTTCTTCTTTTTTTTTTTTTTGTTTTTATTTTTTGGTTCAATAGGTTGTTCAAAATAAAGATGAAAATAGAAGATGGAATGAGATCTATCATTTTTTTTGTGTGTGTCTGTGTGTTATTCAACGGGTCATAAAAAATTTCTAAAATTACAGCCAAAACCGTTGTGGTTTTTAACTTACCAAAAACTCAGAATCTTTTAAATAGAACAATACATAGTGATATATTGTAGAATGTGACCATTGAAATACGGTCCTTTCATAGTTTGATAAAACTTTTGAAGAATTTTCTTTGGACAAATAATGTTTGGTTACTTTTTTTTTTTTTGCTCAACGGGCTGTCAACAAAATAAAGATAGAAATTTGAAAATAAAGATGGAATGAGATTCGCCGGTTCTTCTTCCTTTTCTTTTTTAATGTGCTATCAAAAAAACAAACTATAATTGCAGCCAAAACCATTGTAGGTTTTTAACCTACTAAATATTAGGAACTTTTTAAACAAGACGATAGATAATGACATGTTGTTAAAAATAGAAATGAAGATGGAATAAAACCTGCCAGAAGACGTCCTATTATTAATTCGATTACAATTTCGAAAAAAATTCCTTTTGAACAAGTAGCATTTGGTTTCTTTTTCATGTGTGTGTGTTTAACGGGTTGTTGAAAATAAAAATGAAAAATTGAAAATGAAGACGGAATCAGATTTGTTGCTTCCTCTTCTTTTATTTTTGTTCAACAAGCTGTAAAAAAATTGCTAAAATAGCAGCAAAAACCATCCTTTTTACTTCATGAAAGCAAATGACACTTAGGACACGTGTCAGCTTCACATAAGTTTTTTTCCCGCTTAAACAAAAAAAAAAACATCTTTTGCAAAAGAATGATGCCACGTGTCATGTGTACATCCGAAAAAAAAGACTCCACAATTCTGCAAGATACAAAATGATCACCTTAAAACACTCCCCAATTTAAGGGTTTTCCAGAATATAATGAGATTTTAAAAAATAGTAAAAGAAGGGATATAATAACTCCCTATTTTAAATGTTCACGTTAAACTCTCCCCAATTTAAGGGATTTACATTTAAATCCGAAAATGATTCCTCCAAATCTTAACTCCATCGACAACATTTTAATTTTTTCTTTTTTTAAAAAAAGAAGAGATAAGTGAAGTTCAAATTCTTTTTTCAGATACGATTCTTCTCCTTTAAAAGAGTAATCTCCTCTTCCAATACCCACTGTCGGCCTTCCTCCTCTCTCCTTCCTTCAAAATCCGAGCAACCAATAAAATATCAGTTCCTCCTCAGCCTGTTACTTCCAAACTGAAACCCGGGCTTCTCCGGCAAGAGAAATATTAGACCTTTGATGTAACGAATTATTCGGCACGAAACTACTCCTTTATGTATTTTATGTCAAAAGTCGGTGAGTCACTGTCCCTTCTTTTCATGTGTCTCTGATAAACTCACACACAGTCACACACTGCCACGGAGTGGTAGCAGCGTTCATCAAGAGCATAGAGGTAAATGGGTCAACTAAAACATTGTTCCTTGTTGTAATAGCCGAAATACTATTATGTTGACTAGACATTGTTCCCCTTCTTTATTTTTTGTAAAAACCCTCTTTATTTATTCATGATAAAATATATGAGGTTTTTTTTTTTAATTTTTTTTTGTTATTTTTGTTACAAAGATAGCAAAATTTTTAGTTAACGAGGGTCGCGGGCATTCGTCAGGGGCAAGCATCTAGTCACAAGTTTATAACCTACCAACGATTTGGAACCTTCTAAGTATAATGATTTAGAGTGACATGCTATTAAAGATGAAAATAAAAAATTAAATGAAATCCATCAAGACAAGCCTTTCATAATTGGTGAGAATGGTATATTTGTTTTTATTAGTCATTATCTCATTTCACTATTATTTGTCACTGTCTCTATCATTGCTCTTCAAAATTAGGTTTCAATTTTAAAAGGAAAAAACAGAAATTAAAAGAACTGAAATGAAAGTTTTCTTAGTTTTATTTCTAATTACCGTGAGTAGTTTTTCACTACTAAACAAATCTTTTCATAAGGCACTTTTATTCATTGAATTATTAAACTAAAATATTCGCACGTCCTAAAAAGTTAGTCCATACCGAATTTTATACTTTTAACTAAAAACAGTTAATTAAAAACACAATATGGACGATCTTTTTAATTTCGAAAGAGTATTATAGCACCGCACAACGTACGGACATAATACTAGTATTAGATTATACTAGTTTTGTAAGTCTAATTATAAGATTTACCTTTCTAAAATCAAACTATTGATTTGTAACAGAGTTATTACTCAAACATCTTACTAGAATCATTAATTATATAAATGACACCGGTCGGACCAAAAAAATAAAATAATCTGGGGTGCCCGTGATTACCCGGTTGTATCTAGTAGTGTACTAGTTGGCTAGTTCTGTAAATAATAGTTGTAATGAACACTAATACATATTGTACATAATCATGAGTATAGGTCCTAGTTCGTAAACAATCGAAGTTCGGGTCATCAATGCCATTAATAATGTATAAATATGACATCAGAACGACGATTTGGTTAATTAATTAATTACAATTGATAAATTTTAATACATATTGTACATAATCATGAGTATAGGTCCTAGTTCTGTAAACAATCAGAAGTTCGGGTCAGTCAATGCCATTAATAATGTATAAATATGACATCAGAACGACGATTTGGTTAATTAATTAATTACAATTGATAAATTTTACCCAAAATTCATTGCGTATTAGTGAAGCTTTCCTTTCTAGGTTTTCCAGGGTGATAACCGTTTTCTACTTTTCCGATCAAAAACCGGTCAGAACCCTAACCTTGCTCAGTTTCTTTCGATTCCTGTGATCAAGATTCAATGCCAATGGAGAGAGTGGCGTCAAAGAAGGAAGTACAAGAAATGAAGCAACGGTTACTGGAAAAGATGGGGTTAAGGCTTGAGAATTTGAAGGCGGCGAAGGTGGCGAAGGTGGCCGGGAGAGACGGCGAAGTGTTCATCCACATGTCCAAGGTCATTTCTCAAGATGTATTCACAATCCAGGACCGTGATATTTTATCCAGTGCATTTAACACCATCATTGCGGAGAGGAGAGCCTCCATTCGCGTGATCAGTGCGATCGAAAAGAAAACGGCCGACAATGAAGAAGGATCCGCTGCTTCCATTAAGATGTATCGCAGGAAGGTTCAAGGTGAGATTCGTCTTATCACAGATTTCTTGGAATCGATGCTTAAGAACCTCACTCAGCATAAAGATGAAGTAGATGATTTGAGGGCTAAAATTGGCAAAATTAGGGCGGAGTTCTCAGACGAAGACGAGGACACGTTGTTTCTTGGCGGAAGGTCTTGGGGCGAGGGTCGTATTGTTCATGCAAATTTAGCCTTCAAATGTGGTCGATTCAAAGAGGCTCTGAAGTTTGTTCAGCAATCTATTGCCTTTAAAGGTACAAGAATGACCGAAAAAGAATTTGAGGTGCTTCACGGTTCATGTACCAAACTGATCGAAAAGCGATTGAAGTCTCTTGATGCCCTCGATTCTGGGGGAGAAGATCTTGATCCTAGGCTGGTGGAATTTTATAAAGAGAAGATCAAAACTGAGTTGAGCTTTGTGTGCAGAAGCACTCTAAGACTACTCCTTCTTATAGATGAATCATCAGATACCCTTAACATGATTCAGAAACTCCGGGCTACTTTGTTAGAGATTGGGAAAGCAGAGAAGGGAACTGATGATGAGGAGCCAGAGGAAGCGGTGGTGGAGTCTACAGAATTCAAGGAACATCAATATAACCGCCCTGGCTATCATAAATTTACCAAGGCTGCTTCCAAGAAGTCGGGAGATAAGAAAGAGGCGGAGAAGCATCCCGGACAAAGGAAAGACTTGGATGATATAGAACGGATCAGGCTTAGGAAGGTAACATTTTTGTTTTATGTGTTTGTTGCTACCTGCGAGTGAAATAAGCTATCTCTGCCTTAACCTTGCTTCTCCATCGCTGTCTTTGCAGGCGAGGCAAGAAAAAGAAAAGGCATCCCTGCTTGATTGGTATCGAAGAGTTAGAGATCAGGTACATGAAATTCTTGATTCTTGGAGAACAAAGTTTTATTCTTGTTTTGTTTTTATCTCTAACTCATATGTTTATCTTTTGTTTCTGTTTTCTATATCCACCCAATGCAGTTTGATGCAGTGATGAAGAGCCTGGGAGAGTTGATAAGAAGTCAGGCACCTTGATGTGATATTTTGCACAACCACTTTCACCAACGATAGTTGTGAATCCTTTAATTCACTGAGTAGTTGTCTCATCCGCCCTAGTAGTATATAGAGATTCGTAAGAGTAGTTGTCCCTTTCGTCTGCCCTGGTAGTATATAGAGATTCGTAAGAGAGGCTCTTTGGAATGTCTTTGGAATGGCTTAACTCACAGTTTTAAGCCTCACCATTGTAATACTTTCAATTTCCTTAATAAAATCTGGTTTTGGAGGTTGCATGTTAACTTCCAAATTTTTTCAATCCTCTCTAAAATTATGGATAACTGCTCTGAGATCAGTTTTGAATTTACCTGCTCCTTTCAATTCATCCTTTAGTTTCAGGCAGTGTTTTTTTGCTTTTCTTCTGATGCATGAGTTTTTAGTGAATAAATCAATTTAAATTTGTAGTTTGATGTTTGAATACTAATTTACACTTGGTGTTGCCTAAACTTGAGAGGCTTCATTTGGTCCTCTGTCATGATGATTAGATATGCTAAGTTTTGAATTTTTTGGTGGTATAATGGACATCATTTTCTTCAAGTAGCCTGCACTTATGGTCCGTTAACTCGTTCTTCTAGATGCATATGATTTTAGAGTACATCAAGGGAATTAGAAAAAGGGAGGGAGGGGGTGTTTGGGGGAGAGGAGTTAGGGTTTGACTGAATTAAAAATTAAATTGTTGCTGCATTGCTGGGTCCTTCAATTCATGCCAGAGTGTTTTCCAGCTTGAGCATGGTTATTCCGGCTCCTACTGGAATTGGGAAGACTGCACTTTTTGAATTTAAGTTTATATCTAGAGATGGAATCTTCATCCCTTTAAAGGAGATCAAGAAAATGGTAAAATAACATTTTGTTGTTGAAGTATTATGATTTGCTTTATGCTCAGTAGTCAGTACTCAGTGCCAAGTAGAAATCTTTTAAACGTTTGATGTTGATTCTGTGATACTGACTTCATAAGAGACTCACTACTTTGGCTGTGTTTTATCCATACAATTCCAAACTTTGGCATTTTGTTTGTGTGTGTGTGTGTGTGTGTGTGTGTGTGTGTGTGTGTGTGTGTGTGTTTGTGTTTATTTAAGCTTTGGCGACTGAACTTATGGTGTCTTTATTGTGTGCACGTGTGTATGTTTGTTTGTAATAAAGTTAATGCACCTAAACTGCATATTAATTGGACTATTTTTGTAGAGTGGGTGATGGAAGTGTGGATGTGGAAATGATGAATTCTTGCATGGAACTATTCTTTCTTCTGATTGCAATATGTTCAGTAACCAGAACATTTCAATTTTATTCATTTTACGACTGTTACCTTTCTGGTGATACCAAAGACTGGCATAACTTCATCAAAGGCTTTTGAACAGATAAATTTCGTGATTGGAACCAGAAATCTGGGCAGTTGGGTGTAAATTGTTTGGAACAAACATGCAGACATCATTCTTACAGCTCTATAGATTGTTTTTGAAGCACTAACTTTGTTTTATTTTAATGTTGTGTCAGTATGTCTTAGAAATTAGAATTCTTGTTCCTGCAGATGTTTTATAAATCAGGGTGCTATCACGCAAAAGATGGAGGCCTGATCTCTTTTGCAGTGTAACCCTTGTGCTTCTTGATGTAGTTCACCTGTTGAATCAATATTTAGTCGACCTAAAATGCTTGCTTGCAAGTCTGAAATGAAATCAAGTCTGCTTTCTTGCTATTTTTGCTACTATTACAAATGAACTTATTGTGTCTTTATGACTGTAGATTTCCTTTTTGGAGAATTCCGTAAATTTCTGTGAAGAATATAATACATGTAGTCCTTACTGACATGAGACTGATCAGCAGCTGACCTCATACATTACTTCAAAATTTTTAGAGTTGGTGTTGATATTCGTCAAAGACCATAGGAAAGGATGTCGTCGACTTGCATGCCAATGGTAATCATACATGTATTATATTGCTAAATCATACAATACCTCAGATAAAGCACAACTTAAAGTATCTAGAACTTCAAAGGAATCTAAAGTACTTCAAGAGAGTTTGAGTGTTTGAAATAGAATCTGTAGTGATATAGCGATCGATGCCACTTATCAGTAGTTTCCTGTTGCATTCTCATCAATGTGATTGTAGTTTCTGACTGTCACATCATTTCTTGTTGACCAGGCCCAGTTTCAAACTTATAGATGAAGAATTAGAAGAACGTAAAAACTCTCATGTCACACACCTTGGTTCTGTTATTTGCAATAAGACGTTCAACAAATTTGCAGGTTTGCAGGGTATTTGTATCTTCCACCTTTGTACAAGGTTTTGTGACATTCGTCCAAGAATCTTTGTGACAATTTACAGGAAGAAACACAGGTCAGTCTCTAAATTGGATTTCCATTCCAAAAACTGGATTGTTATACGTGTTTTAAGTTTTAACATCTGATACATCCTTTTGTGTAATCCAGACGAACTTCAAGTCCAAGGTCCTCCTGTACCTGAACAAATTGACAGGAGACATGATATTTGATCATATAAGAAGGCAGGCTAAAACTTTCTCAGTTCCTGACAATTTGAGGGCAACTGAACTGAATGAACTCAACCACAAGAATCAGACTACCGAAGTTTACTGCCAGAAGCAATTCCAGAAGATTCTAGCCGGATTAATTCAGCTACAGTTCCAGGCTTTATTGGGGTTCTAAGAGAAGACCTGATGTTCGACTGGAACTCACTGGACAGCTCTTACCGAATCACTGTTTCCAGCGAAATTTTACCAAGCCAGCTCCCTGGAATTTGTCTGTCCACACTCCACAGTATCCAAGTGAAACCGCCAGACTGAAATAGAATGTAGTCATCAGCGACCATCCTGCAGAATGTAGTCATCACCATCTACTGAGATGTATAACATCACAAGTAGTATGGCGGATGTCGCCCTTTGGGTTTGGTTTTGCACGGGACCCTGTGGTACCTTTCAAGGAATGGTTTGTAAGGTGGGTGAGGGAGGCGCCAAGGGAAGAGGATATTGTTTTGAGTTGTTTTATCATAATATAGAAAAATATGGTATGGTTGTGGGACGGTGAGGAATGGAATGCGGAAGTGGTTCTGCAAGAAGCTTTTTAAGGCTATGATGATTCATGAGGCCTGCCTGAGGGAGAAGAAGCGGGAGGTGGAAGGGTTGGTGGGACAAAGGGCCACGAGGTAATGTTGGCGGGAACAGCAGAGGAGATCCAGGATGCGGAAGTAAGAGGGAAGCTAATAAAATTCCAAGGTAGATCTATGCAACCCAGGATCCAGGATGCATTGTACTAATCACTCTTAGCCGGAGTGGCGGAGCTCACATGATATAGTAGTAGTATGTGTTTCGTATATTATCAAGATTTTGATTTCCACAAATGAAACATCGATCAGAGATCTGATTCCTGATAATTCATTACGTACTCATTTGAACATTTCCACCCCTTACCACTCGGCCGTAGATAAAGTTATCACTTTGAATATAAAATCCGCACGATCGTATTCAACAACGCCCGTGATCCATGACAGTTCGCACGGACTCTGCAAACCCATTCCCACAGCATCAGCGGAATTGAAGTAATGAAAACAACCTTTATTAAGGAACATCCAACATTATATTTTAAGCACACGGGTTACGGTATTACAGAGGGATGTGGGGAAAAGAACCTTATATCCAAAACAAAAAGTTACAAGATTACAGAGGGCCAGGGGTGTGGTGTTGAGATATGAGATATAAATCTGTGCACTTTCTCCACCAAATCTCTCTCTACTTTCATGAGTTTACAGAAATATTAAAGTGCTAAAAATTTTTATGCCATCACCGACACTTTTAATCTCAGCGGCGTCCCTGGACTACTTGTAATACCTGCAGTCACAATGTTATCTATTTCAAGCAAACATCCTGAAATCTCTTCTTGCAGACCTGATGCAATCCCTTGCCTTTTTTTTTTTGGATCAAAATGGTGTAGTCACATGTCGTGATACAGCCAACCTACAAGTCCTGGAGGGGGGAAATCCAGTCGAAGCAAACCTCCCGGATTCGACCCCGCCAATGACGCCAAAAAATCCGCCGGCCCATTACATTCCCTATGGACGTGGCAGAGTTTAACCGCCCAATCTCTATACAAAAGATCTCTAATGGCCCCCAACAGACTCTTACATGCGGGGTAGGCGGTCTGTTATGGTCAAGCACTATCTCCACCACTTCCTGGTTATCAAGGTCTGCTTCAACCATTTTGTATCCAAGGTCCCAAGCCAAAGACAGGCCCTGACAGAGCCCCTAAAGCTCCGCTCCTGTAATTGAGCAGAAGGCAATCGTCATAGTGAATCTCCCATGTCACCTGCCATTTCCATCTCTGATCAGCCCCCTGCCTTTCTAGCCCTGTCCCCAAATCCACGGCTCCATCCGAATTCATCTTCATAAAATCACAACCTGTCGGGCTCCAACTTAGCATTCTGATTTCCTTTGCGACGCTGTGCACTCCCATCCGTCCCCAAAGCCCTTGCCTTTGCTTGTAAGAGTTAGTGCGCAGAAATTCGTTCCCTGAAGAGACAGGTTGACCATTCTAGCTGATGACCCAAGCAGCGACACGTTTCTTCTCTGCTTCCTTGAAAGCTCGATCCCCCCTAATGAAGCAATTAGCCGGCGCATCCATGTGATTTGCATTGGGTGCTTGGCCTAACTTCAGAGTATGTGCCTGACTCATCCTTCAAATACTGCCAGCACTTGCGAGAAAAGTTGCACTTATTTGTCACCCAAACTACATCATGATAGGAATTAGATTAGTATATTTTCCATAACACTTCATTTCTAGCCAGCCACATGGACAACAAAATGAATAGAGACATTTCCAGCAGCTCCATTCGAGCGCATCCAAGAGTCACGCTTCCAACAACTTACAAAAGTGAAGTTTTAGGGAAATGTCAAAATTAAACCTAGAACTGAACTCATCCATGCTGTCTCTACTCCTTCCTTGCATCGCAGACCCCTCTTCGTGCTAGAGAATCTAATGCAGGAGGAGCATTGTTTGCCGCTCAAATGAAGCACTGGATTTTTTCTGGCACCTTCATACTCCGGAGTTATTTCCATGCTTCCTCGTTTGCTTCTCATTTAATTTGCAGAGCTGTTGTCATGTCTAAGAATGCTTCCCATGTTTTGAGACTTCATCGAAGCCACTTTTGTAATGGTGTGGTCTCCATCCCCCTTGCAGCTTCCCTGCCACATCAAAATATCTGCCTTTTGTTCTGAATGCCATAGGATGTGTTCTGTGCTCCTCATTGATTTGCAACGTTGATCCAACAAACGGAAACTAAAAAATTTAATGAAGGCAAAAGGCAAAAACAGTCACTGGACAAAAGCGTGTTAGTTCTTTCAACCTGTTTCTGCAAAGCTAAAAGTGTCTAATCTTTCTCCCTGTCTTTCCTCAAAGCTAAAAGCTGAGGCTAGTGTTGGAACATAGTGAGAAGCATGCGCAGCATGTAAAAGTCCAACCCAAATGGGAAGGATCAGATATAGAGTGCAGAATGTTATCTTGAAACCAAGTGAATCAATATTAATAATAAGAAAGACAAAGAACTTGAAACAGCATTGAAACCAAGTAAAAAGTAGCAACAGTTTAAAGTAGAACGTCATACAAATTGGACAGGGATTGCTCCTAAGCAAAGTAAATTAATACTAATAAAGAGTAACATCCACAACAATCACCCCAAATAAGTGAAAAGCAAAAGAATTTAACTTGAACTATGTTGTCTAAATCGCGAAGGATGCTTGACAATTTGGACAGAAATGAGCCCGACGCAGCCAGCCATAGAGACACCTGCGGTGGAACACATGGGAACAAGAGGTCTCAGCTAAAATAACTTCACCTTCAGAGAGCTCGCCCAAACAAATCGAACACAACTGTAATTGATCAACATTAGCTTCTTCAAACCCTTTAAGCTCTGTTGCTGGTCTGATTTCATCGAATCTCACGTCCATTTGGCTGCCTCCATAGCCTCTGGAGCTCTCGATTTCCGAGAGGAGTGGGCAAAGAATGTCCTGTTCGTCCATGGGACAGGTGAACTGAGAACCATCAACATCATAATCAGTTCTCTCGATATCCAGATCCACCCAAATAAGAAGTTTTTCTTCTTCCCTCCTTAAGAATTCGGGAGTAAAATGATAATTATACATCACATCTTCGGCGAATTTTTGGACCATTTTGTCGAAATAACGGTATGAACGAAGAAAACCTATTTGTGTAAATGTCGCAGCCAGCAATTCTTTTGTGCGGTCAGGATCTAGAAAGCCTTGTCGTTGAGACAAGGAAAGAGGCACTATAGCAAAACGAGTTTTCTCAGTTTGATCACCGGAGCGGAGGTGGGCACTGATGAAAAATTCGCCGCCCGAACCGGACGGTTGTGCCGGCTGGTGCGGTACCCATCGGAAAACATTCATGGAGCCTGAATACCAGCGACTATATTTCGTCATTAATTTCTGACTATAAATTTCCTTAACTCAGGAGAAATAAACAGTGGCCAGAAAAACAGTTCCGGAGAATCAGAGATATAAGGAGGTAGAAGAGTCGTCGACGAGAATAAGGATCTTGTCGTGACGATGTATATTTATACTGAGGTTTTTACTCTTTTTTTTAAGGGAGACTCCTTTTCTTCCCTTTATTTGGTTCATAGTTTTCCAAAATTGATTTTTTTTTTCGATTAAAGATTAAAAAAAAAAAGAAAAAAAAAGTCTCCCAATTCTGATTTGGTTACGGGTTCTAGAAATTTCCTTTTCTATTTTTCCCAAATTTGATTTTGCCAAGGCAAGGCTCGCCCTCAATTCTCAAGTTGTACAAATTCATTTACATAATTACTTATTAGTAGTATAAAAATTATACTATATAACTATACTACATAATATTAGTATTATCTCGTGGTATAATACATTAATTTAGTAATAAATACTTAATACTCCTAGTTACTACAATTATGAGCATCCACATTGATTTACACTATTGTGAGTATAATGTTGGTTCACACCGTAAATGTATAATAAAATGGAATATTTTTAGTATCATCATAAACTCACATTAATTATATTTTAATACCAAAAAATGTATATTACACAATGTAAAATTCCACCAAGATTTGTAAGAGGGTTTTAACCACATTTAAGTCGGGTTCACTTGGGTTGATTTTTTTTTTTTAAAAAAAAAAACACAGTGTAAGAATTCTTACGCCGTATAATATTATCACACTCAACACAATGACAAATAGTATACTGAAATAGTTATTAACTTATTATTTACCACAATTATGGATGCTCTTAATGCCAAAAAATCTATATTATATTCTAATAGAGAAACCGAAGAGAGGATTTCACATTGGTTCTTAGGGTATCATGTCAGCAAAAATCTTATGTGGCATTTCCATAAAGCTCCTCAAAAAAAAAAAGTCACTGAAATTAACTATAAGTCCCTCACATCGGGCTTGGAGAATAGTATTATTTATTTTGTAAACCTAAATCCACGAAAGAAAAAAAACCCAACTACTATTTCACACCTAGGTTCCACTCTATATTTTAAAATAATATAGATTTAGTCAACAGCCATTTACGAAGATTCAGGAATTTTGCAACTTCATGAACTTTTCAAAGAGGCATAATCATGTGGCTTTAAAGAAAGAAAAAATGTAGGCAGAATAGTGCCAA